GGATAGGCTCCAGTTTGCGTTTGGTGCACATGCGCTCAAGTCATGAGTGAAAGCATCGTTGCAAAGCTGTGTGGGCGTAGACGCCAGTATCATCCAGCATCTAGAATATGAACCCAGAAGTTGTAGCGCCAGGGCAGTTTTCCGATAGTTTCCCACGATTCGTCTTCGGCTCGATCATACGGCAGGGGCGTTCGGTGAGGAATGTGCCAAGGGGGGTCAAGCCTTCGGGGCTTCCTTATCTCATGAGGGCGGTGGTGATGTCCATGGCCAAGCTTCAACATGAGTTCCTCCAGGTTGGCAGAGACCCTGCATTCCTGATCCAATGGCTCCGCATCCAATCCTCGCTGCAACTGAACGGATTCAACACGGCGCCCCAGGCTGCATTGTGATGTAGAGTTAAGTCGGGCTTGTCCCTCTACAGGGGGAACATTCAAAAATAGTGAAAAAATAGTCTGGGGACTATGTTTTGAATATCTTTGGGCATCTTTTGGGTATTTTTGGGGAATCTTTATTTTTCGTCCAAAATCCCCTGTAGGGGGACACGCCCGACATAAATATAGAGGCGTACGTTGAAATTGCATCGGAGGTTGAAAGGTCACCGGCCAGAGGGCCGCGGGCCGACCATGGGCTTGAACATCTTGATGGCCGCGAAGGCATCTGCAGCAGTGCAAGTTACACAGTGGTACCAACCTCTCTACTCTTGTAGTCAGAACCTGAATCCGAGGGTAACTCTGCAATGGGACTATGAAAAGCATCAGTATGGTGGCCATACTTAGTGTAGACGGCTTTTGTCTCTAAAATAGCGTTAGTCATAGGATCTTTCACACACTGTTCTACAGATGGGGGGCCAGGATGGAGGGTCACGAGGAGCCCTCGATTTCGAGGGTGCGGCACCTCCCGCCAGGCGATAACCGCGACAGGTCTTCCATGCTGAGGGCCCCGCCCCCGTAAACTCGGCTGGGAGGAGTCGTCCCACCCCTCCTCGTCCCTCCCCTCCCCGCCATTCTCCTCCTCCCTCCCCCTCCTCGACATCCTCGTGCTACCCTCCTCGCCTTCTCCCTCGTCCTCTCCTTCCTCGTTATCCCTCTCCTCGCCTTCCTCCTCGCTCTCCCTCCTCGCCCCTCCTCCTCGTGCTCCCGTCGTCGCCCTCCTCGCCGCCCTGGGGGCTGATTATTTTCCGAGTCTCGTTTGCGGTCCCAGTGCGTCATGCAGCCCATGCCTAAAAACCATCCGTGTCCGTGGATTCTTGACTGCAGGTTTGTCGAGCTTTTTACAGGCAGGCCGTTCAGGGACGGACCACCGCACCCGATCGGGGAACCCACACGTCGACCCCGAAAGCAATCCGCACACACACACACACACACACACACACACACACACACACACACACACACACACACACACACACACACACACACACACACACACACACACACACACACACACACACACACACACACACACACACACACACACACACACACACACACACACACACACACACACACACACACACACACACCACACACACACACACACACACACACACACACACACACACAACAAACACACACACACACACACACACACACACACACACACACACACACACACACACACACACACACACACACACACACACACACACACACACACACACACACACACACACACACACACACACACACACACACACACACACACACACACACACACACACACACACACACACACACACACACACACACACACACACACACACACACACACACACACACACACAGCTGCCTCGGCTCAAGCTGCGCTTCGCCTGGGCCCGCGGCCGCCGTCCTCGTGATGGCCACCGCTGGGCCTGCTGCGCGTGCCGACGCTGGTAGCGCTGATGCGGCGCGCCGCAGGGCCCTCGAGTCGGCCCGCGGCGCCCTCCTGGCGGCCCACGCCGCCAGCGGCCTCGCAGTCGAGGCGGCGTCTCCAAGCGGGACCCGCCTCCTGCGTGCGGCCGAGGGCCTGCTCCGCGCGGCCATCGTGGCCCTTGGCGCGAGGGCTGCGCCCGCCCCCCCGGCACCGGCTGCCGCGGGCCGCCTTGGGCGGCGCCGCCGGCCGCGCGGCCGCGCGGGGCGCGGCGCGGGGGCCCCGCCTGGCGCCCCTCGGGCCCACGACGGCGACGAGCAGGAGCAGAAGGGAGGAGCTGGAGGAGCGGCAGGCGCAGCGGCTGCGCAGGGCGGGGCCCCTGGCGCGGACGCTGCGGAGCGGGCTCGGCGGCGGCGACGCCGCAGGCGGCCCCCGCGCGCGCTGACGGCGGGTCCTCCTGGTGGCGACGGTGCGGCGGCGGCCGACGACGACGCCTCCATGGAGGACGACTCCTGGGCGGATGGGGGGCGCCCAGCAGCGGCAGGCCTTGCGGCGGCCGCGGCGGGCGTGCCGCCCATTCGCGAGGCGGTGGCGGCCGTGGACGGCGGCGACGGCGCTGGTGGGCAGCGCACGGGCCTCGCGCTCGTGCAGGTGCCCGTCGAAGTCGGCGACGCCCGCGATGACGAGAGCGTGGGCGCGATGCACGTCGGCGTGCAGAGCGCCAGGCCGTCCCCGCCTGCGCTGGGGCCAGGCGCACGTGCCGCCCTGCCCGCAGGCCTGCGGGTGCGGGTCCGCGGCATGGGCACGGCTCTGGACGGAGCAGCGGCGGAGGTGATCTGGGACGCCACGGACCAGGGCATGGACGTCGCGATCGACCCTGACGGCACGGGCGCGGTCTTCAGGGTTCCTCGCTCCCTCCTGGAGCCCCTGGGCCCCAGCGCTGGTGCAGGCTGCAGCGGCGGCGATGGCTGAGCCTGGCCATTGCAAGGCAGACGCGGTGGTGCTCCTCCTCGAGTCGAGCTCTGGGCGTTTTTCCTTGTACAATTTTGTTTCCCGCCAGTTATCCGTGCGATGCTGGGCGGATGCCCCTTCGTGCCAGGACGCCGTCCCTGGTAGACGTTGGGATGCCTGTCGTGCTGGGACGCGGTCCCCAGTAGACGGCAGTAGGGCTTCGCTTGGCCGTACAAGCACGTGCACACTATGCATTATTTGATGCCTTGTATATCGATTCGCTTCGCGTTTTGATTATAAGAGTGTGCCTGGCCTCAGTGGCCTCCCGTTGGTACAGGCCACGGTCAGTTGCTCAGATGCTGCTGGACGTGCGCTCTTGATGGCCCGACACACACACATACCCACACACACACACGATCCCAGCCAACTTCAACACCATCTAGAAGGCCCCCTTGAGCTGGCCCCCCGAGCCGCCCCTCGAGGAGGGGGAGGAGACGGAAGGATTCTCCCTCTCGTTCCCCCTTCGAGATAAGCATGATCATTTGTTTCCTCGTCTCCCTCTCTCCTCCTCCTTGTCTGCCTGCCCCTGCATTGCGCCTACAAGCACGTACAAATCAGGAGGGGAAAAAGACAGACACAATTAAACATCGATCCCCCAGAAAGAATGGGAAAATATGGGAAGTGTGGGGAAGACAGAAACCGAGAAAATATGGGAAAATATGGGGAGTCCTTTTATTTGTGTGTATTTATTTGCGTGTCCCAGTGCCCCTTCAAAAAGTACATCCGCCGCCGGTGACCCCTGGAGCAGTGCTCCAAGGGTCAACTGGCTCGCCCTCCCTAGGACCCCTCCCCCTTCGCCCGCCAGCCGTCGCGTTCCGCTTCGCCCCAGCTTGCCCACCTCTTGGGGAGGATCCGATCCGAACTCCTCTCCTCTTCGCGCTGCTCCTCGTCCTCCTCGTCTTCCTCATCCTCCTCCTCCTCCTTCCCCTCCCCCTCCTTCTCCTCCTCCTCATCACCCTTCCCCTCTTCCTTCTCCTCCTCGTTCTCCTGCCCCCCCTTCGAGGCAGGAAAGACGTCGTAAAAAAAGACGGCACACACATAAACTTTCAACGGTCCGCGAGGATGTCTTGGATCGGCGTTGGGCGCCCCTGGCGGCGCCTCCAGCGCCGCCCCTGGCGCGTTCCGCGCGCCAGGCAGGGGGGGGGGGGGGTCCAGCTCCGATCCAAGAAATCAGCGCCGAGCTCCGAGTGTGATTGTGCAGTCCGAGCTCCGAGTGTGCTTGTGCACTTTTGCTGGTCCCTCTGCCTCCCCCCAGGATCGGAAGGGGCACGCAGCGGGCCCTCTCGAGATCCCTTGGGGCAGGATCAAACATGCTGGTGTACATCAGCTCTGTACAGTCGGGGCCCTGAAGAAGGAACCCTTTTGGTTGGGGAGGGGCTCCGCTTTCCTTAAGTGTTTCGCAGCTTGCCTCGGGTTTTCCTGAGGTTTCCGATCGGACATCGAAGGTTCACTTATGGAGAACAGGGGGCCTCGTTCCTTATTTAGGGTTCCTTAGGTCAACGCCCCGACTGTACGAGAGCTCCCCTCCCCCCACCCGCCTCGAGGCCCGGAGGCGCTGGGCCGGGCCGGGCGCGAGGGCGGGGTGTGCCCTGCCCGCGGCCGGAGACGGGAGCTCGTGGGAGCCTCGCCCGTCTTCGGAGCTCCCCGCCATCCGAGCGCACTCGGCGTCGACCTGCGTCGTCTTGGCGCCGAGTCGTGTCGGGCAGGAGGAGGAGGAGGTGGAGGAGGAGGAGGAGGGCGAGGAAGGCGAGGAGGGTGAGGAGTAGGAGGAGGAGGACGACGACGAGGAGGACGAGGCGAAGAATTCAAGCAGTGGCGGAGCGTCTTGGCTCCCCGATAGGCCAACCGAAGAATAATCTAAGAACCTTTGGTAGTCTGCGCGAAATGTTCTCAGAACATGTTTGGCTGGGACCGTCTTGTTTTCACACACCGGGCTGATGTTCTAAGAACACTGCATTGTCTTTGTTCTTGAACCATTTATGGGTGCGAAGAGCATGTCGTGGTAGGCCCACATGAATGCCGGGACGGCCGGTCCCTGCTCCAGAGTCGTGTCGGGCAGCGTCGATCTGCAGGAGTCGGCAAGAGGACATGGGAGGCTCGCAGGAGTTGCCACGGAGCGCGGCCCCGCAAGCGCGAAGGTCGCCGCCGGCCCCGACGCCGCCGCCCCCCGACGCGGGCCCCGCGAAGGCGGGCAGCCGGCGCGTAGGCCCGCCCTGCGCCGGCGGGGGGGCGCCCGCCAGCGCGCCTCTCGGGGGCCCTCCAGCGGTGCGGTGCTAACCCCAGGAAGCATTTAAGAACCCCCCCGGCGATATCGTAGCACCGCATTTTTTATTCGATATTCCGAAGGGCCGAAATAGAACGATGATGTGATGATGATGATGATGATGATGATGATGATGATGATGATGATGATGATGATGATGATGATGATGATGATGATGATGATGATGATGATGATGATGATGATGATGATGATGATGATGATGATGATGATGATGATGATGATGATGATGATGATGATGATGATGATGATGATGATGATGATGATGATGATGATGCGGATGCGGATATGGATATGGATGATGGTGCGGAAGGGTTATCGATTTGCCGGAGGGGGGGAGGGGGTTCTTAAATGCTTCCTGGGGTTATTCTAGTCGGGTTTGGCCAGGCCTGACCCCCCCGGCCCTACTCCACTCTTGCCCAGGGTCGCTCTCACGTGCAGCCGGATCTCTGCGGCGAGCGGGGGGGGAATGAGGAGAAGGCATTCTCAGAAGGCGGCGGGACTTCTCAGAGAAGCCCTCGCGCCTTCTCAGAAGATTGTTTCGGGTATAGCCAAGACCCCAGGTAAGGGGACCCGGTCAGTGGTAGGGCCCCGGAGCCCCTAAGCTGGCCAGAATCACTAAACCAGGTTTGCCGTAAGTGGTGTTTTTTCGGGTGCCGGCAGTTCCGGTTAGTGGAACGGGGCGGGAGGGCGTCCCCCAGTACGCATCATTAAACCAGGTCCCATTAGACCCAGTTCTGCCAACGCCCGATCTAGGCCTCCCATATGTGGTCCGAATAGTTGGGGGCGGAGAATTGCGTCGCCGATGCGGGTCGATGTGGCGGGCGCTCGGGTCCGATCGCAGCATGGTGACCGACGGCGAGCGGGGGGGGGGAAAGCAGGAAGTGGCGGGCCTCCTCAGGAGGCTCGGGCGTCCCCTAGCCTCCCGAGAGGGTTCCTGAGCCTTCCCCGAAGACGCAGGGAACCTCTAGAGAACCTCTCGTGGGGCGCGAGGGCCTCTGAGAGGCCCCGCCGCCTTTTGGGAGGGCCTTCTCCTCCTCCTCCTCCTCCTCCTCCTCCTCCTCCTCCTCCTCCTCCTCCTCCTCCTCCTCCTCCTCCTCCTCCTCCTCCTCCTCCTCCTCCTCCTCCTCCTCCCTCTCCTCCTCCTCCTCCTCCCTCCTCCTCCTCCTCCTCCCCCTCCTCCTCCTCCTCCCTTCCCCCCCTCGCGCGCCCCGGAGGCGAGGCGAGGGCCTTTTGTTCGGGCCGCCCGGGGCCCACAGCGAGAGCAGCCCGCCGCGCGCCGGCCGGGGTGGGGGGGGGCCCACGGCGCGGTTCAAGCAGTGGCGAAGCGTCCCGGCTCGCCTATAGCCCCACCGAACAATGTTCTAAGAATTTTTTGTGGCTTCCACGAAATGTTCTTAGAACCTTTTGTGGTTTCCACGAAATGTGTTAAAACAAGACAGTCGTGTGGTCCACGACTGTCTTGTTTTAACAAATCGGGCTTATGTTCTAAGAGCATAGTTTTAGTTCTTAGAGCATTTTTGGGTTCTAAGAACATTTCGTGGTACGACTATAGGACTGCCGGGACGGTCGGTCCCTGCTCAAGACGCGAGATCCTCGGGGGGGGGGGGGGCAGGCGACGCGGTGAACACGCCGCGGTGGTGAGCCAGTGGGAGCTCGTCGTGACTGCGCGGTTTTCGGACTGGGGTCGTTCGTTCTCCCTCCGCCTTCTTTTCATCCCCCTCCTGCTCCTCTTCCTCCTCCTCCTCCTCCTCCTCCTCCTCCTCCTCCTCCTCCTCCTCCTCCTCTCTGAGGGCGTCTCTCGGGCGGCTTGGGCCGCCGAGGTCACCCCAGAGCGGTGTGGTGGCGGACCGTGTGGTGAGGGCTTTGCTGATTTCAGTGCGCATAGGCCCGCCCTGGGTGGGCGGGCTCCCAGCGCTCCTCGAGTCGGGGGCGGCAAAGAGGGGGGTGATGACTAGGGGGGGGTGGATATCATGGCGGTGGCCATGAGATTTCCCCAGATTTCATGGCGTCTCTTCTTATTTCATTGCGTCCCTGGCCCCCCCGCTGGGCCGCGCACATGCCGCGGGCCATGATTTGCACCCCCCCTTCTTGGACACCCCCCTCTTGGCCGCTCCCGATCAAGGGCGTCCACGAGGGGTGAGAGCCAGAGGAGAGAACACACGGATCCGATACGTGGCACCCCGCAGTTAGTTTGTTTTCAACAGTGCACGAGGAGTCCGCAGCATGCGACGATTTTGTCGTCAAAGCATCGTGGGTTGGTCGAGGGTAGATTGCAGAGTGGGTGAAGGGTGGGTCGCGGGGTGGATCGCGGGGTGGGTCGCGGGGTGGGTCGCCGAATGGTTCGCGAGGGGACGACGACAAACAACATCAACAACAACAACACCACCACCATCAATAACAGCAACAAAAACATAATAAGCAACAACAGCGCCAACATCAACAACACCAACAACACCATCAACATCAACAACCACACCAACACCACCACCAACACTATCAACCACACCACTACCTGCTTCTTGTGACATTCAACACGTCTATCCCGAACCCTGGATACCCGCCCTCGTGGTCTTCGGTCGTGCCCCCTCGGGTGTATACCATCCCTACCTGCACTACTACTACTACTACTACTACTACTACTACTACTACTACTACTACTACTACGACTACTACTACTACGACTACTACCACTACTGCTACTACTATGACCAATGCTACTACTAGTGCTGTTGTTATTCTACTCCATTGCGATTGCTACCAGTACGTCTACTAGCATTGCGACTACCAGTACTACTGCGACTACGACTACTAGTATTATTACTACTTCTGAGTTTGCCACCACTGTTAGTACTACTGCTATTACCGCGGCTGTGCGGATTACTATTAATACTACTCTTACTACTACTACTACTACTACTACTACTACTACTACTACTGCTACTACTACTACTACTATGGTTAGATCTGCAACGACTGCTGCTACTACTACTACTACTACGACCACTGCTATCACTACTTCTACTTTTACTACTACTGCTACTACTACTACCACTACCACTACTACTACTACTACTACTACTACTACTACTACTACTACTACTACTACTACTACTACTACTACTACTACTACTACTACTACTACTACTACTACTACTACTATACTACTAACTACTACCTACTAACTACTAACTACTACGAGCTGCTAACTACTAGTACTACTGCTCCTACCACTACGATTACTACTACGACTGCTACTACTGCTACTACTACTACTACTACTTATTACTACTGCTGCGACTACTACTACTACTACTACTACTACTACTACTATTACTACTACTACTACTACTACTACTACTACTACTACTACTACTACTACTACTACTACTACTACTACACTACCTTTATTACTACTACTACTACTACTACTACTTTTACTACTACTACTACTACTACTACTACTACTACTATACTACTACTACGACTACTACTACTACTACTACTACTACTACGACTACTACTACTACTACTACTACTACTACTACGACGACCTACTACTACTACTACTACTACTACTACTACTACTACTACTACTACTACTACTACTACTACTACTACCACTACTACTACTACTACTACTACTACTACTACTACTACTACTACTACTACTACTACTACTACTACTACGACGACTACGACTACGACTACTACTACTCTATTGCGACTACTACCACCACTATTGGGACGGAGTGCTGGAGGATCACCAAGGTTTCCTTAGGGAGGCCTGATGATTCCTTTGGGGGCCCTAGGGATTCCGAAGGATCATCAGAATTGAAAGAGCGTGTTCTACCGCTGCTGGCGGAAAACCGGGGGGGTCACTACCGGTTCGAACCCTTCCCCCCCACCCCACCCTCCGGAAAACAGAGGGGGGGTCAGTACCGGTTCGAACCCCTCCCCCCCCCTCTCCGTTCATCATGAAAAGGGGGAGGGGTCACTATCGGTTCGAACCCCCCCCCCTCCCCTTCCCGTCGAAAACCGGGGGGGGTCACTACCGGTTCGAACCCCCCCCCCCCCCCCCTCGAAAACCGAGGGGGGGTGCGGACAGTGGTGGAGACGGTGGTGATGGGGACAGTGGTGAGGGGACAGCGGGACAGTGGTGGGGACAGTGGGACAGTGGTGGGGACGGTAGTGGTGGGGTTAGTGGCGAGGACAATGGTGGGAACAGTAGGGACATTGGACAGTGGTGGGGACGGTGGTGGTGGGGACAGTGGTGTGGGGACAGTGGGAATGAGGTGGAAACGGTGGGGCAGTAGAGGGTACAGTGGTGGGGACAGTGGTGAAGGCGGTGGCCAGGACGGCGGTGGGACAATGGGACAGAGGTACAGTGGGGACAGTGGTGCGATCAGTGGGGACAAAGGTGGGAACAGTGGGACAGCTTAGTGGGACAGCGGAGGAGTCAGTGGGACAGTGGGGACAGTGGGGATAGTCGGGCAGTGGTTGGGGCCGTGGAGAAAGTGGGGAGAGTGGAACCCTGGTGGGAACAGTGGTGGGGACAGTGGGGACAGTGCGACAGTGGTGGGAGCACTGGTGGGGACAGCAGGGACGGTGGTGGAACCAGTGGGGACAGTGGTGGAGGACAGTGGTGCTGGGAACAACAGTGGGGGATGTGGCGCGGACGGTGGAAGGGACCAGAAGTCGTTTGCTGGCGGTGAGTGGGGGGGGTGGGGAGGGCTTCGAACCGGTAGTGACCCCTCCTCCGGTTTTCGAGGGGGGGAGTTCGAACCGGTAGTGACCCCCCCCGGTTTTCGAGGGGGAGGGGGGGGAGGGGGAGGGGTTAGGGGAGGGGGGGTTGCCGGGGAGAGGGGGGTGGATGCGCGTGCGGGCTCGCGGTGGGAGGGGCCCGCAGGGGGGGGGGGATTTTCGGAGGTGGGGGGTTTGATGAGTTTTCGGGGAGGCCCCGGCTCCGTCCAGCGCTCAGGCGTCCATTTCCACAGTAGAGCGGCGGTGGATCACGCTCTCTCTCAGAATTCCATCGCGGCGTCTTCTCGGCTTCGGCTTCTGGGGCCCGCCATCAGCCCCCGGACCAACAGCAACGCCTCGGATTCCTCTGGGGCCGCCATCCTCCCTCCTCCTCCCCTCCTCCTCCTCTCCTCCCTCCTCCTCCTCCTCCTCCTCCTCCTCCCCCTCCTCCTCCTCCTCCTCCTCCTCCTCCTCCTCCTCGTCCCTCCTCCTCAAAGAGTCAGGATCCCCCGGGGCCGCGAGGTGAGCTGGGGCGCACGCCTCCCGCCTCCCTCCTCCTCCCTCCTCCTCCTCCTCCTCCTCCTCCTCCTCTTTCTCCTCCTCAAAGAGTCAGGATCTCTGGGGCCGCGAAGTGTGCACATCGCATCGTCGGATGTCTGGGCAGGGGCCTCGTTCCACGAGCGCGTGCCCAGCCTTTGTCCCCCCTTTCAGCTTTATCTCGCTCTCTCTCTCTCTGTTGTTTCTCTCTCTCTATTTCTCTCTCTCTCTGTTTTTTTTCCTCTCTCTCTCTCTCTGTCTCTCTCTGTCTTACGTGCCTCGCGTGCCGAGTCGAGTATGTGATTCCGCGCCCTTGTCTGCCGCGCCGACCTTGCTGTGCGATCGCCAGCGCTGCGAAACAAGACAATATGTCTGGACGTGTGTGTGTGTGTGTGTGAGTGTGTGCGCGTGTGGGCGTGTGGGCGTGTGGGCGTGTGGGCGTGTGCGTGTGTGTGTGCGTGTGTGTGCATGTGTGTGCTTGTGCGTGTGCGTGTGCGTGTGTGTGGTTGGTGTGTGCGTGTGCGTGTTTGTGCGTGTGCGCGTTCGTGCGTGTGTGTGTGTGCGTGTGTGTGTGTGTCTGTTGTGTGTACGTGTTCTCGTGTGTGTGTGCGTGTTCGTGTGTGTGCGTGGTTTGTGTGTGCGGGGGGGGGGGGGCTTATCGTGGCTGTGAGTGAGATCTCCTAGATTTCGTTGCTTCCCCTTTTTAATTCAGCACGCCATCCCCCCTCGCCCGCTAGCTATACAGGCAAGCAGGGCCATCAGGATAAGCACCTTTCCGATATTACCATGCCTCTGGGCCCATGCTGACCCTTCGTCATGTGCCATGGGCTTCCGATTTCGAGATCAATTTAGTCGTCCAGGGGCCGTGTTCCCTTACCGCGCGTCGATCTGATGGGGTCTCACTGTAGCACGTTGTGTTTCTCCCCGCGGACCTCATTGAGCAATGTGCCTCATTGCTCACTGTTTCTCCTCCCCCCTCCATCATCCTACACCTATCTGGTGGAAGGATGGTGCCGTTAGCGGATGTCAGCCAGAGATGGCCTTCTTTTCAGCGGTAGCCGCTCTCTAGGTAGCCGCTTGCACGTTCAATATTCAGCATAAAGCGTTTGTTGTTCTTGCTGTTGCTGCTGACCTATGGCGTACATCCGTTATTTTCTTGTCTTATCCTGCTTGTCGTTCAGCCTCCTCTTGCTCCCAGGGCGTATGTGCATGCCTGACTGCACTGGAGATGGAGGTCGAAAAAGTTTGGAAGCCCCACGCTGAATCAAGCAACAACACGTCGGAAGTCTTGGTCCGCATCGTCCTCTCATGGCCCTGGTCAGGTGACTACGCGCATGGCGTGGGGAAGGTCTCGCCGAAGGCGGAGGCGCCGTCCGTGCAGGCCGGATCCCGTGCATCGCGATGGGTTTGTGGTTGGCGATCAGGTGGTCCGTATCAGCTTGTCATTCGCCGTCGTCGTCCCATATTCTTGCGTCGCAACGACAACGTTGCGGCTAGCTATTTCTCAGTTTGGGCCCGGCCGTTCCAGGATCTCAGTGCCGCCAAATTGAGTTCAGAGTTAAGTATCCCAAGCCAGCGTTGTTCAAAGCAAGGGTGGTTCGGGTCCTACGATTGTATTCCTTGTCCAAATCTGCCTGCTCGTCGTCGTCCTCATCATCGTTGTCGTCTTCGTCGTCCGCATCCTTCTTCTCGCTTGGCCCCCCCTCCCCGTCCTCCTATCCTTTCCATCCGTCTCCGCCTCGTTTCCGTATTACTCATGATGCTCTTTCTCGCCTCCCTTCTCTTACATGTTGCCATTGTTCATTTCATTCCCCTGGTTCTCTGCCTTCTCGGGCTCGCAGTCTCGCCGCAGCACCTCGTGCTAGTCGTAGCCCTCCCCGTCCTCATCCTTCGATCCTCCTCGCCTTCTCCTCCTCCTCCTCCTCTTTTTCCCCCCCCTCCTCCTCCTCCTCCTCCTCTACCTCGGCCTCCTCCTCCTCATCCTCCTCCTCGTCCTCCTGCTCCTCCTCCTCGCTACCTCGGCGTCCTTCCCCTCTCCCTTCTGGTCGTTCCTTCTTGCAGGATGCCCTTCCGTGCACCGGGCCCCGCATCCCAGCGGCCCTCCCGCATCCCATGGGCTCCCTGGCAGTCTCTCGCCTTCTCCTGGCAGCGGCAACGCCAGGGGGGGATGGGCTCAGTGAGGGGGGACATGTCCCCCCCCCTTGACAGGGCTCGTTTCGACTCCTCCGATTCGATTCGATTCGATTTCGATGGCTTCCGATTCCGATTCGATTCGACTTGGGATTCCGATTTGGGTTCCGACTTCTTATTGAAGGCCTACTAGCCTGCCGATTTCCGCCGATTCGACATTTCCCGATTCGGCTGGCGATTTCCGCCGATCCGATTCATGTCGATCGCCGATCCGACTTGTCGATCCGATCCTGGGCTCTCCTGCCTTGAGCGGGCCCACCTCTAGCCTGTGCCCCTCATCCTTGCGTCCGTCTCATCCTTCCGTGTCGTGGAGGAGCTCTCTGTCGTCGTCGTCGTCGTCTTCGCCCCCCCGCGCCCCCCCCCCCCCCCCCCCCCGCGACACTCTCGATGGCCAGCCCCTCTGCAAGAACCTCGACATGAGCGTGCAGGGGGGCCTGCATCCTTGTCATCGCGCATCCTTGCGATCAGCTTTGTCTGTACATGTTTCTCCGCACCCTCCTCTCCCTCCCTTCTGCATGGTGGTCAAAATCGCCCAACGCGCCCCAATTTGTTTGACTCGCAAACGCAATCCCTATGCCTAGTCGCCGACGCACAACTGTTTCTCCGCACCCGCCCAGGAGGAGGAGCAGGAGGACGAGGAGGAGGAAGAGGAGGAGGAGGAAGAGGCGGAGGAGAAGGAGGAGAAGGATGAGGCGGAGGAGGAGGACGAGGAAGCGGAGGAGGAGGCGGAGGAGGAGGCGGAGGCGGAGGAGGAGGAGGCGGAGGCGGAGGAGAAGGAGGAGGAGGCGGAGGAGGAGGAGGAGGAGGAGGAGGGGAGGGGGAGGGAGGAGGAGGACGAGGAGGAGAGGAGGAGGAGGGGAGGCTGATAAAAGGAGGAGGAGGGCGAGAAAGAAAAGGGCGAGGGGAGGAGGAGGGAGATGGGGGAGGAGGGGGAGGAGGAGGGAGAGAGGAGAGGAGGAGGAGGGAGGAGGATGAGGAGGAGGAGGGGGAGGGGGAGCCCCCCCGGGACGCCCGACCAGGGCTCCCCGCTGGGGCCGCTGTCCGAAGACCAGAGCTACACGCCGCCCCCCCAGCAGGCGGCAGCGCCGCGCCGCCGGCCCCCGCCTCTCTCGGGAGGCAGCGAGGGGCAAGCTTCATGCTCCTCCATCTCCTCCCCCTCCGTCTCCTCCTCCTCCTCCTCCTCCTCCGCCTCTTCCGCCGCCTCAGCCATTTCGCGTCCGAGCGGCCCCCCATGCACCGGGCCTCCTGGACGATACGGCGCTACCATGCTACCATCAGCTACCATGCTGAGACCAGGCGACCGCGCAGCTGCCAGGATGCCCGTTCCCTTCCGCGCCCTCCTCCCCTCCGTCCTTCCCCTCCTCCACCTCCTGGCACACCGGGGCGCAAGCCGATGCGGCGCCGCGGACACAACGCGGGGACAACAGAGTCTCGATCAGCTACAGCGTAGGGATCAGGCCGTGAGAGAAGACAAGCAATGGCAGGCAAAGCTGACGCTGCGAGAAAGCAAGTAGTGGCAGCCAGAGCTGGCGCTGCGAGAAGGACGAAAGCGCGGGTGTGCCACGATCAGCCACAACGCTGGGAGTAGTCCGTGCGAGAAAGGGAGTGCGCAGTGGCAGCGGGCGCTGGTGCTGTGCAAAACTTGCGTGTGGGCCACGATCAGCTACAACACTGGGAGCAGTCCGTGCGAGAAGTGGGGCCTGCGAGAAGCGGGAGGCAAAGCTGGAGCACGATTGTCTCATCTAGCTAACGCCTCTGGGAACAGCGTGTGCGAGAAGAGCGAGCGGTGTTCTGTCGTGACGCAGGTGAGCGCCGCCATGCGAGAAGCAGGGGGCGAAGGTAGAGCCCGACGTGGTCAGCTACACGGTTGGGGCCAAAGCGAGAAAGGGAACGCGCAGTGGCAGCGGACGCTGGTACTGTGCAAAACGTGCGGGTGGACGCCCAGCTACAACGCTGGGAGCAGTCCGTGCGAGAAAGGGGGCATACGAGAAACGGGAGGCGGAGCTGGAGCCCGAGCGTCTCATCCAGCGAACGCCTCTGGGAACAGCGCGCGCGCGAGAAGAGCGAGCGGTGTTCTGTCGTGACGCAGGGGGCCGCCATCTTGCGAGAAGTGGGAGGCGAAGGCAGAGCCCGACGTGGCCAGCTACAGCGTCGGGATCAGGGCAACTCGCTGCGTGAAGAGGGAGGCAAAGCTGGAGCCCAACGTCACCCTCCTAGCTACCACAGCGCGCTGGTAGAAGTGAGAGGCAAATCTGGAACCCGATTATATCTTCCTCTAGCTAACACGTTGGGAGAAAACGTGGCGAGATCAGCTACAGCGCTGGGGTCGACATGGCACGGGGGTCCGCTGGAGGGCTCACCAGCTACAGTGCTGGTATCATCTCTAGCGAGAAACGGATGCGCCGACCTGTGCGCAGGCGGCGCCGAAGGCACGGCTCGGCGGTACCTGGGGGTGGGGCCGCAGCCGAACCAACGCATATGGGATCAGCTAGTGTGCGGGCATCGTCAGCGCGAGGTTGAACGGCATGGGGCACCCCCAAGACCACTTGTAAGGGACGCCTCCCGATTTGACCAAAGCCGAACTTTATCGCCCAGGGACGGCCTGGAGTTGGGGAGGCTTTCAACGTCGCCGCGGTGCGTGCCTCGCAGATCCAGAGATCCGGTTAGCGGAATTCAGCGAAGTCCTCCCCCGCCACCTCCTCCTCCTCCCTCTCCCCCTCCTCCTCCTCCTCCTCCTCCTCCTCCTCCTTCTCCGCCTCCTCCTCCTCCTCCGCCTCCTCCTCTTCCCCATCCTCCTTCTCCTCCCCCGCTGCCATTCTGGCTCAAGTTGCAATCTGTTGACCCCCCCGCCTCTCGAGAGGGGCGCCAGCGCCGTATTTCGCCCCTTGCTCACGAGGCTGCCCAAAGAGCCGCCCGCAGGGACCTGTTTCGGCCACCAGTGCGCGCTTTTCCTCGCACCGTTGTGTTGCCACCTTGTGTTGCTTGTATCGCGCTTGCTGTCTTAAGCGTGGCTGCGCGGCCTGGGGGTGGAGTGGTCAGCAGCGGTGTTCAGCATGCGGTACTCCATTCTCTAAGGATGCCAGCTTCAAACAGAAAGCCCGTCCAGTTCGAACCCGCCCCGCCGAGGCCCCAGCTCCAGACGACGCCCCCGACCCTGCGGCGGCGGCGCAGGCGCAAATCACTTGCGGGCGCACGTGGGCTGGAACGGACAAGAAGATATTTCGCTGCGCTGGGCATCTTAAAGAAACTAGGGCGCGCGCTCTTCGTGGGAAAAGCTTGGACCGACGCGCGCAGCCGCTCCCAGGCCAGATCAACACTATTAGATATAACTTCGCCACTAACGCCAGTGAGCTCACTGACATGGAGGAGCAGATCGAGAAACTGTCTGAGGCGTGCGAGTTCAAGTTGCACGACCTGGCCGAAGTTCATGGCGAGCTCAAATCTCTCGAAGCCCAGCGCGCAGCGGCGGCGACGGCGGCGGCACAGTAAATGTCCGAGAACTCCGTCGTCAGGGAGCTGTTGCACGCTGCCGCTCAGTCCAGGATCCCCGAGGGCGGCGTCATCCCGCCCAGTCACGGCCAAGGCCCGGGAGGTCGGTGACTTGTTCGCGGAGCCCACCGAGCAGCATCACGCGGCGATGGCCAGGGAGGCCTCGCACACGCAACCCACCCACCCCAGGCGGCGGCTCTTTCTTGCTGGGCGGCCCGATTCTACGCGAGCAAAGATGAGGCGCGATGGTTTCGACGCGTGGATTGGAATTTGGACAGCCCCTGTATGGTCGATGAATGCCACGGCGGCAGGGAAATTGCCCGCCGCAGACGCAGCTGCGCCACTGCGCATTTTCGAGGGCACGCGTTTCCTATTTAGATATGGACCTATATATGTCTGCATAGCCAGATATATGTGTTTACGTGGGCTTCTATACATACGCACACACATGCATATATATATACATACATACATAGATCGCAGCACGCGCAAGTCCACGTGCGCTTACACAAACCACGTACATCTACATCTACACATGCATTCGGACACGCGTTCATGTTCACAACCAGATATGCACACATGCACTAACACGTACGAATGCACGTGCAACGATGCATATACAGCAGCGCTTTCACACCAATATGAGCACATACACGAGTGCATACACATGCACACATCTTTGCCAGCGATGGCTGACGGGGGAGCAGGAGGCAGAAGGATAACGCACTCAGGCGTGGGCGAGAGCAGGGGAATTCAGGACCTCGAGCAGCGCGAGGCGGCTGCGGCTGACTCGAACCGATACGAGTTTGAAGACGGTTCTCGCAATGCAGAGCAGGCTGGTGTGCACTTGGCTGGCGGGTACCGCGCGCTCGTGCATTCAATTTAAGGGTGCGGTCGCAATGCGAATTAATCTGTTTCACTCGGGCAGGAGTAATGAAACCTCCATTCGGGATCCATGTTGGGGGGCAGTGTAAATTCTAGGGGCGAGGCGCCCATGATCGTTTGACGTTGCATTGCGACTTGCGAATTGAGGGGGCCTCGAGTTTTCTGTCAACAGCTCGGCTGTCCTGTGCCAGCGCCGACTGAGATGCGCTGGTGGTGCGAAGGGGACCGCGCCGCGCTGTTGTTTAACAATTTCGCCAGAGATGCCGCGGGCGAGCCTTGCGCGAGATGACTACCGCCCCCGCCACCGCAATTAATCTCCATTGGACTGCCCCCGCTGGAGAGGCTCCCCCAGTGGGCCCGAATGAGCGTTCAACTGCTCCTCTTCGCCTCCCCGCTCTTCGACCGCCGTTCCCTGTAGCTCCGCTGTTTTATTCGACGGGCCCCTCCCCCCCCTGCCCCCCGAGCCGCGCGCCTCGCCCCTCCCCCCCCCCCTCGCCCATCCTCCGACGCCTGCTCCTCATCTCTGGCACCCGCCCGCCCCGTCCTCCCACCTGGGCCCCCCGCCGGTTCTGCCTCCCCCCCCCCGCCCATTTCTGCCGCCCCCCCGCCCGCTTCGCGCGCGCTACCCCAGCGCCCCCCCCCCCCCCCTCCTGCCCGCCCCATCAATTGCCCCCAATAGATGCGCGGCGCGGCAGCGGCCCTGCCACCTGCCAGGAAACACACACCTCGGCATTGCACGCGGTTCAGGCGACGGCACCTTGCCCGTTCACGTATCGTTTTGTTTTTGCGCTGAAAGTGACGGGCGAGACGATCGGCTCAGAAACCGCGCGCGCGGTCGACCCGGGCGTCGCGGGCCATATTCTGGGGAAGAGATTATTTGCGAAGAGACCCCCCGGCCCTCCGTCGAAAGCTTGCCCCGCGGCATGGGCGAGATTCGCCGGCTGCACAAGGGCCTCCGAATCCCGCGCCGAATCGCCTACTTCGGGTTAAAGTTGTTCCCGCCAGCAGAGAACAGCCCCCACTCACTACCCCGTACTTGTTCCAATAAAGAATGCAAGGGCTGCCGAGCAGCGACGGCTTGTGTCCGCGGTCACCACGCGCGGTGGCTTGTGGCAGAGGGCGCACGTTTTTCTATATAGAAAACATGCGTTCTCGTTGTGCTACATTGGCAGAGGGTTCATGCGCCACGCGACTACGACTGCTACGGCTACAACGATGGGGTCTGGCAGTTTAAGCTCGAGTGCGAATTGCTGCGAAAGGTGGCGCATGGGGGGGGTGTTTCAGTGGTTTTGCGAATTTCCCGACGGTGTATCTCCCGTTTGCGGACCCCCCCCCCCCCCCCCCCCCCTCGCGGCCTTCGCCCCCCCTCCCCCCCCCCCGCGGGGTGCTGTTCAAGACGGCGCTCGGTTGGGCCGTGGCCGCCATGGCCGTTGACCCCTCTCCACCTTCGCTCCTCCGCCGCAGGAAGGCGGCGGGGCGGCGGTGGATGGAGGGTGGATGGAGGATGGATGAGGAGCACGAGGAACATCAGAACTATGAGGAGGCCAAGGTCAGAAGGAATGAGGACGCGGGGGATGGCCAGTACAATGGGGGCGCGAAGAGCAACGCTGGGTGGAAAGGGGAGGGCGAATGGCGATGACCACTGCGGTCTGCGCGACCAAAGTGGACGACGACGACCACGAAACATTGCCGATCAAGAAGGATCGGGGGGCGATGGGTGGGCAGGGGGGGGAGAGGGCGACGAGCAGATAATAATACGACACCGTAGAAAATGGCTTGGCCCCCCCAGCGCGGGGCAGGTGGATTCCGAGATCGCTCGCCTCTCGAACTAGGATGCACGTGCGCCCACGCGGTCATTATCAGCATCATCGTCATTCGCATCAGCGCCGGCATCAGCATCAGCATCTTCGTTCCTTTCGCTGCCAGCCCCCCCACGTGCAGTTTGCATGTCGGCCGACAGATTTGCGGGTCGGCCGACAGCGGCAAGCCCTCCGATTGGACGACAGTTGCCAGCTGCCAGCCGACAGTTCGCATTGCACTTGCAGCGCAGTTATTATGAAGCGCGGCATTGCTTCGCTGAGCAAGGACAAGGCCAACGCAATCATCGCAATTCCCCCTCATCCTGCGGAGGGGGCTAAGGCTTACCTGGGTCCTGCCATGAGGCATTCCTGGTGTGCGGCGTCGCTCTGGGCTTCGGCCCGCTTCTGGCGTGGTTATGATTGCGCTGTGCTCCGCTTCTCATCTCTATGCATCCTTGTTTTCTCTTCGGTCTTCTACCGGTCATTTCGTCGTCCTCATTCGCTCCGCTTCCTCAGTGAGTGTGTGAGCGAGCGACGGTGCCAACGATCTTGCATCTGGGCATGAACATTGCAATGGTGATGGTGATGGCGATGGTGATGATAGAGGCAGTAGCGATGATGATTGTGATGATGCTGATCATGATGGCGATGGTGATGGTGATGGCGAAGCTGATGATGGTGACGACGATCGTCGAGCACACGTTTGGCAGACGTTTGCGGGCGCCTGCGGGGTCAGCAACAAACGCAGGACGCATGTTTGTCACAAGTTTGTCGTCCACGGGTGTGCGAACACACGTTTGTCGCTGTTGATTTCTGGTCGCGGCCGAATCTTCACGACCGAAATTTGGATAGCGAGCGCGCGGTCGCTACCGGAATCCGTTTTCGGTTCGCCACCGCAAGCCGATGCTGAATTTCGATGCAGGTTTTCATGCCAGGTGAAATGGCGCTTTTGCCGGCATAATCCAGCACGCCCGAGAGTTCATCGCGTCTCTTCTCGCTCCCGAAATCCTTCGGTGGCGAACCATATGGGAATTTATGGCGGCGAAGTGGGGCAAACCTGCGGGGTGCCCGCGCTGCGGCGCCGCTTCCGAAGACCGCGAAGCTTCTGGGCATGCCTGGCCTGGGGCGCCAACAGGGCAGCCGCGCTAGCGACAGCGGGGGCGTCGCAGGCCGCGCCGCGCGCGCGGTTGCTGCCCAGCGCTGCGAACGCGGGCGCGCTGCAGATCGACGTCCACCTTACCGCCAATCGAGGGGGAGGCCGCCGAGGCCCCGCCGCCAGCGCCGCCCCCGGCTGCCCAGATGCCCGCGCCGATCTGCGCTGGGAGTTTGGGCGCACGGGGCGCGCGAGCGACCGCGGGGCCCGCTGATGGCGAGGGCGGTTTGGGGGCTGCGCCTGGAGGGGCCCAGCGGCGCGAACGACCGCAGCAGGCCGGCTGGCGCTGCGCAGACTTCGCTGCGCTTACCGCCGCGGTCCAAGCGGTCAGCCTGGTTGGGGCGCCCGTGGAGATCATCGCGGACTCCCGATTCGTCCGCGGTGGCGCGGTCGCCCTCCGCGCCGCCGCGCGCTGCCTCGAGCGGGCGCGCTCCGATCTCTGGGGGCCCGTCGCGGAGCGCAGCCGGAATTGGCCCCTCACGGCGGGGGCGTTCCGCGCGACTGCCGAGGAGGCGCTTGCCCGGGGCTTGTCCGAGGAGGAAAAGGCGGGCAACGCGGCCGCCGACCAGCTGGCGGGCGCAGCGGCCAGGGCCCGGTTCCCCCCGCCAGCGACTACCAGCTGACAGCGCTACCGCAGCACAGCTCGAGTTCGCTACGGTTGAACTGGTGGCCTTGCGCGCTAACCGCGAGGGCCGTTGGCCGGGCGCCCCGCGCGCGCCGCCGCTGGACTGCCGCGCGCGGGCCCCGCGCCGCCAGGGCTCGGCCGCCGCCCGCAGCGCCCGCGGCGCTTGCGCCACCGCCGCCACGGCGCCGGCGGACACGGGCAGCCATTGAGGCCAGCGGGTCGTCGTGCCACCCGCGCCAGCACAGGCGGCTTGTTTATTCGTGTGCGCCGCGTGTCGGGTGCACGCGGCGGCGCAGGTCCCCGGCTCTGGGCGCGTTTGCGGCGCGGCGTTTCGGCGGCGCGGTGGGCGCAGCCGTCGGCGAGAACGTGCGCGGGTTGGGCAACGGCCCTGCCCCCGCGGGCAGCCCTGCTGCTGCTGACGCCGGCTGCGCGCGCCGGCGGCGGCGCGGACGTCTGGCGCGCCACCCTGCGAGCGCGGCTGCAGGCCCGGCCAGGGCCGCCAGATTAACTAGTTCATTCTGTGCTCCTCGCCTCCCCCCCTCCCTTTCTCCTCAGCCGTTCGGCACCCTATTCGCATGGTTAAGAAGTGTCTCGGGCCCGGCGCCCTCTGGTACGTCTCCCTCTCTAGACGCAGGGGCAGCGTCAGGAGAGAATACAGCCAAACACCTAATAAGGACGCGCGGCAAGGACGCAAGACCCTTGGACACCGAAGTTGGGATCTGTGGGGCGGCGGGCGACGAAAACCCCAAGGACGCAAGAGCAAGGAAGAGCAAGGACGCAAGGGTACCCTGAGCAAAATCGCGCGTCCTTATTCGGGTTTTTGACTGTAGGCCAATGGGGGGGGATGCAACGAACCCCAATTTATCCCATCGCCAGTAGGGGCCTGATGGCCCACACCCCGCCGAGGAGCGTGCGGAGTCGCTATCGGGGGTCGATCGGCAGTGTGTCGCAAATTCCAGATCGATGTTTCCCCCCCTTCACCTCCCCCTCCCCCTCCCCCTCCTCCTCCTCCTCCTCCTCCTCCTCCGCCTCCTCCTCCTCCTCCTCCTCCCTGCCTTTTTCCTTTTCGTTATCCTCCTTATCCTCCTGCTCCTCCTCCTCCTCCTCCTCCCCCCCCTTTGCCGAGGCCCTTATCACATGCGAAGCGCAGCCCGGGATCTCAGACGCTTGTGCGCAAACTCTGGCGGACGCGACGGGGGCGGCAGAGGGCAGTGGGGGGGGAGGGCCGTGGGGGGGGAAGGACGGCTGTCCCGAAGGGGGCAACGCGCACGAAGGCTGCACGTTTCCTCGCCCCACGTTGTTTGCGCCCGAACGTTTACTCCAGATTTCGTAATAAAAGGGAGGGGGTTCTGGACCCTCCCAGACAAGCCATTTCAGACCTCCCCAGTGGGAGAACCCTCCAAAACATCGTCCCCAGACCCCCCAGGCCCTCCAAGATAGCCTGGAAGAGACCCCCCCCGCAATGAGACCCCCCTCCCTTTATTACGAAATCTGGAGTAAGTCGGGCCTGTCCCTCTACAGGAGGACTGTTCCAAAGTAGTAAAAATCAGTTCGGGGACCATGGTTTGATTTGCATGTTTCTGGTATGTTTGATTTGTCGTCCAAGGTCCGCGTGTAGGGGGGACATGCCCGACCTGAAACAAGGATCAGGAACGCGAGGAGGGGCTAATTACCTGTCCTCCGAAGTCAAAAGAGCTGACCAGAAAAGCCCACCCAGCGATGCAGCACATCAGCAGAGCCACATCAGAGCCCATTGTCACTGGCAGGGCTCGTTTCGACTTAGCTGGTTCGGTTCGATTCGATTTCGACGGCTTCCGATTCCGATTCGACTTGAGTTGGTATTCCGATTTGGATTCCGATTTCTTATTGGAGGCATGCTGGCTTGCCGATGTCCGCCGATTCGACGTTTCCCGACTGGGCTGCCGATGTTCGCCGATCCGACTCCCCGCCGACCGCCGACCCGACCTGCCGATCCGAGTCTGGGCTCTCCTGCACTGGCACCCCCTCCGGCGAGATGAGCTCAGCACGCTCGTTCACGAGCACTGGTCGGGGGAACGTAAGACTCGGGTAAGCCGGAACTCGGGTTTGCCGACGTTTTTTGACGAGCGCGTCCTGGATTTTGACGGTCCAGCTTCCGTGGGATGTCTGCAGTGGGAGCTCGCGTCAAATTTCAGATTGCGTCTCGTCATTTTTATGATGGACCCCGTCAGGCCAACCCGCGTCCCCCGTACCCGAGTCTTACGTCTCCCCGAATTGGGAAAGCCGTGCCCAGGTTCGATGCTCGTTTCGGGGACCTTCCTGGAGTCCACCTAACGGATCTGTTCGACCCCAGTGCGACCCCAGTTCGACTCAAGTTCGACTCAAGTTCGACTCAGGTTCGACTCAGGTTCGACTCAGGGTCGACCCGACTCGACTGACGTTCGACGCAGCCTCGACGCACGAGTGGAGCGAGCGGCTCCAGGAAGGTCCCCAGAACGAGCGTCCAACCCAGGGGCTGCCGCATCCGTTCTGGCTCGATCGGCCGGTGGAGAGGCGGCGCCGCGCGGTTTCCCGGCGGGCGAGGCCTGCGCCGCTCGGACCCCGGGGTTCCTGTCGGGGGAGCGTAAGACCCGGGTTCGCCATCGTTTTTTGACGGCCGCGCTCCGGATTCTGACGAGGAGGAGCTTCGTGGGAGGTCTGCGGCGGGAGGCCTCGTCAGAATGCAGGCTCGGCCTCGTCATTTTTGTTGACGACTTCGTCGGGGATTTCCGAGTCACCTGTACACCTTAGGCGATGCTTAAGAAAACCCAAGTTTTCGGCCAGAGTCTCGATTATTCTTAATGTTTCAATGTAAATCCTAAGATTTGAATGGGAAATTTGGTTTTTTATTAAAGTTCTGAGACTATGAATTTCTTAACCCATGATTTCTTAAGCATTTCGTAGGGTGTACCCAGGTCTGACGTTCCCCTGATCCTGGCCGCGGGCCGCAGGCATCCCGTCGCGCGGCAGGCAGGGTCGTGATGGCGCCCCCCCGCTGCGCCGCCCGTTGATGGGCCGACTCTCCACCACCGCTACCACAGGCAGGACGGGGGCGAGGTGAGGAGGGGGAGGTCCTCCTCTCCTCCTTCCCTTCCTCCTCCTCCGCCTCCTCCTCCTCCTCCTCCTCCTCCTCCTCCACAAGAGAGGGGTTTGAGCTAAGCCTCTTGACCCCAACCCAGGGCCTCCTTTTCACACGCCTCTGCTTGGATTTGGCCTGAATGGGAAGTGAGAGAGAGAGAGAGAGAGAAACTCTTCCTCCTCCTCCTCCTTATCATATCTATGGTAGTGGTGGTGGAAAATCGGCCTATCACCCGTGCCGTCCTGCTGGCCGCTCTCGCTGGGGCTGCCGCCGCAGCGCTGGGCGGTGGGCCCGACGAGGCGTGCGGTCCTGCCCAGGACGTCGAGGCGGTGGACGAGGCCTCGCTCCTCCAGTCCAGGGGCGGGCTCAACCAGACCAGCAACGAGACGTGGAACGAGTGGGACGAGTGGTACACAGGGCGGGAGGTGTGGGAAGCCCAGGATCGCAGGCGATTTCTCTCCCCCAATCCCCGACTTCCGCCAGAAAAGTTTGGTCGCTCAGAAAAGGGGAGGAATCTTGGGATACATCCCGAGGGGGCTGTTCGGACGCACCCCTGTCGAGGATGGACGCCCCCCCCTCGTATATCCCAGGGTTGGGCCCCAAATTGTTGATCCTCTCGAAAACCTCACGGAGCCTGGGATAGGGGTCGACGCATCCCTTGTTACAGGATCAAGCAGTGGCAAAGTGTCCTGGCTCGCCTACAGGCCCGCCGGAGAATGTTCTACGAACCTTTTGTGGTCTGCACGAAATGTTCCTAGAGCATTTCTGGCTGAGGCTCTCTTGTCTCAGCGCATCGGGTTTCTGTGATGTGAGCATTGTTTGAAGTATTAGCACATGCCGGGGTAGGCCTATAGGACCGCCGGGACGGTCTGACAAATGCTCAACAGGAGTGGGCCATGATCAACCCCGAGTACAGGATGGAGCGCATGCGAGGTCTCGGGGATGCGACGAACTTCTGCGTCAGGAACAAGGAGAATTGCAGGGGGTTCTCGCAGTGCAAAGGGTCGAACGAGATATACCTCGTGGCCTGCGGCGCCTCCCGCCACCGTGCCTGCTTCTGTGGGCCAGCGGAGGCCTCTTGAGGACTCCTCCTCCTCCTCCTCCTCCTCCTCCTCCTCCTCCTCCTCCTCCTCCTCGTCCTCCTCCCCCCTTCCTCCTCCTCCTCCCTCCTCCTCCTCCTCCTCCTCCTCCTCCTCCTCCTCCTCCTCCCCCCTTCCTCCTCCTCCTCCTCCTCCTCCTCCTCCTCCTCCTCCTCCTCCTCCTCCTCCTCCTCCTCCTCCATCTGGGGGGGCCTCCCAGGGCCCTCTTGGCCCGCTCGGGGCCCCCCCCCTGGGCCCGGAATGGGAGGCAGGCGGGGGGCCGCGCCGAGGCCCGGGAGGTCCGCCGGGAACCTGCAGGAGGTTTATCGGGTCGGGCGAAAGGGGGGGATTGGGAAAGGGGGGGGGTACGAAATTTTCTGCATGCAGCTGGTTTCGGCCTCACCGAGGGGCCCATTCCTCGATACATGGCCGCCTCCGGCGCCGGGAGGCGCCGGGAAAATCAGCTACGTGAGCTGATTCTCAAACCCCCCCTTTGCTATCCCCCCCTCTTTCGCCCGACCCGAGTTTAGGGATGTGGGGACTTGGCCCCTTGATTTCGGGGGCGGCAGAGATCTAGGCCTCTTAGATAGGGTCGGAGTAGATGGGGTCGGAGGATCGCGCCGCATCGCCCGTGCATCGGCGATGCATCGGCGATGCGACTCGATCTGGGGCCTAATTTTATCCACGCCGACCTCGCCGATGCATCGCCGACGTCGCCAGTGCATCGCCGATGCATCGCCGATGCATCGGCGATGCATCGCCGATGTATCGGCGATGCGGCGAGATCCTCTGACCCCATCTACTCCGACCCCATCTAGGAGGCCTCTGGAAGAGGGGGGTAATGACGAGGGGGGGGTGGATATCATGGCGGGGGGCATGATATTTCCCCGGATCTCTTGGCGCCTCTTCTTATGTCATCCCGTCCCGGGCCCCCCCGCTGGGCCGCGCACATGCCGCCGGCCATGATTTGCATCCCCCCCCCTCTTGGACACCCCCCTCTTGGCCGCTCCCGATTACTCAGTCCTGATGACTGAGGACCTTAGTGGGCCCCGGAAACGGCGGGGCCGTTTTTTCGCCGTGTCCGAAAAAGTGTCCCTTGAAAATAGAGCCGGCCAAAAGACTGCGACCGGGGACGGGGACAAGATCGGCTCCAGGAGTGGAACCGGAGCGGGAACCCGAAACAGAACGGTGACGGAACCGGCTAAAAGACGGCGTCGGAACCGGCAACAAAAACGGCAAAACGGAACCAGTAAAAAAACGGCCCTGTCGTTTCCAGGGCCCAGTAAGTTGAGGATTACAGGTCATATCAGGATACTCCAGCTCGTGTCTCGCGGCACGGTGGCGGATACTTCGGCTGGAATCGCCAGGGCGTCCCTAACTGGGACCGTTGTTGCCAAAGGGACACTCGTTGCAAGACGTGGATTCTGGTGCGTGCCTGGTAAGGGTGCTGAATAAGACGTTGGCATCGCACTGAGGGGCCTCACGTCGCATGGTCTCAAGTGTGTGCTTGATTGACGTCTGTCTTTCGCCGCATGACACCACCGTGGTTCGCTCTTTCGTCGCAGAGTTTCGTTTATGCCCACCGCCATGGGGGCTATCTTTTGGGGCCTCGGCAACCGGTTGGATATATTCGGGCCCGGGGGGGCCCGACGGGTTTCGGACGAGGGTCAATCTGTTCCAGAGATTTCTGGGACGCTCTCAGGGCATTCCGGAACGCTCCAAGCGGGCCGCGGCGCCTGAGACATTTTCCAGAGCCGCCGGCTGTCAGAGATTCCCGATGTATCCTCACTCGATGTTGTCCTAGATTTGTCCTGGCTGCGTCTTGGGGGGTGGGCCGTACACCTCCATATCCACCGCCCTTGCCGAGGCCCCCGACGAGCGATCCCCGAGCGGCGGCTGATTATGTAGATTCCCCGCCTCGCGCGGAGTGCAGTCAAGATCCATAAGAAGGCTGCGCTGCTTCATCTAGGCTACAGAGTCAGAGAGCACCTTCCTCTGCAGGGCCGCCAAAAAAGAGTGGTCAAGGTGGTCGCACGCCTCGCCTGTTGAGCCGACGAAGATATGCAATATCCAACCTTTCGCTCTTGTCTAAAATGTTGGCTTAACGTCGGTCTTGGTGCATCAATTGCAGCTGGACCGAAGAGGTCGGCTGCGCCCCTTGACGTCCGTTTGGGGTGTTCTGCAGGGTGGAGTTTTGTTTCGTCCGCTTTTATTTCGTCCGGTTCTGTTTCGTCCGCTTTTGTTTCGTTCGCGTTTATTTCGTCCGCTTTTGTTTCGTCCGATTCAATTTCGTCCGCTTTTGTTTCGTCCGCTGTTGGTTCGTCCGCTTTAATTTCGTCCGCTTTTGTTTCGTCCGCTTTTGTTTCGTCCGTTTTTGTTTCGTCCGCTTCGGTTTTTGTCCGCTCTTGCCTTGCGTGATTCGTGTGGAAACTTGGGGGATGAAAACCGGATGAATTCAAACCGGGCGAATTCAAACCGGATGAATTAAAATTGCATGAATTAAAAACCATATGATTTAAACAGGCGAATTAAACCCGGATGATCTTAAACTTGGTGAATTCAAACCGGAGGTAATAAACATCCGGGCGAATGAGAACCATTTCGAATTCAACCGGATGATTTTAAACCGGGCGAATTAAAACCAGATGAAACTAAACCAGGCGAATTCTAGACGCTTCGGGTATCACCACCAGCCCATCCAGAAACGATGCCCAGGACAGTTGACGGAAGACGGGAAGAAGAGATTCACATAGTGAACCGGAGCGGGCAACAACGGTGAATTGGGAGATTTTTTGTGGCGAAGGTTGCAAGTGTTATTGTTGGTGTTCTTGCTCCTGCTGGTACTGCTGCTACTGTTGCTAGTGCTGCTGCTGTTGTTGCTGATAGTGCCGGTTCTCGGATGATGAGTAGACGGATAAGGGGGAGGGAGGATGAGGAGGAGGAGGAGGAGGAGGAGAGGAGGAGAAGAATAATAATAATGATAATGAGGACAAGGAGAAGGAGGAGGAAACAGGGCGGACATATGATCCTCTTAGGATGTCTCTTGGGGGTTGCTTTGGAAACCTCTTGGAGCGTCTGGAGGGGATCTTGGAGGCTTCGGGGATCATCGTGAAGCCTCTTCGGGTCTCTTGGAGGTCTCTTGAATGCCTCTCGGAGCCCCTTGGGATATCTCGTGGGCGGTTGTTTTGAAGCCTCTTGGGACGTCTCGGGGGTCTCTTGGCGGTCATGAGGGCTCTTGGACGTCTTGGGTGCCTCGGGGAGGCCGCTTGGGGTCCTCTTGGGGGTCTTTGGGGGGTCTCTTGGGGCCATTTTGGGGTTATCTTGGGGCCATCCTGGGGCCTCTTGGGGCCTCCTGGGCGCCTCTTGGGCCGGTCTGGGCTCCTTTGGGGGCCTTGTCGGGGCGTTTTGGGAAGCTTTAGGGGCTCTTTTGGGACCATCTTGGATGATATCGATCAACGAAGGGGGGTTCCTTAATTACGCCCCCCCCTGGAGGCCAAAATGGGGCCAAACCTCTAAGTAAAACAAATGATTTTTGCTTCCTCGCCGAGGCCGTTTTGGACGCTCCGACACCTCGCGGAACCCTCTGTCCAGGTCCAGGGGGGGAGGTGGTAGGGGGAGGGGTCAAGACTCCCTCCCCGCCCGCAAGCCGTCTCGCTCACTCCCACCCGCCCTCCCAACACATACGTAGCACCCGAGTCTGGCCCGAGCCTCAGCATATTCAGCAGTCGTCTTTGGACGGGCAGCTACTGGGGGCCAATCCGCCGCCGCCTCCGCCGCCGCCGCCGCCGCCGCCGCCGCCGCCCCCCGCTGCCAAACCGCCGCCGCCGCCGCAGTTGCTGCCGCCACCGCCACCACCGCCGCCGCCGCCGCCGCAGCCGCCGCCGCCGCCGCCGCCGCCGCCCCCGCCGCCGCCGCCGCCGCCGCAGCCGCCGCAGCCGCCGCCACCGCCGCCGCAGCCGCCGCCGCCGCTGCCGCCGCCAAGTGTACTCTGTATTGTTTTTGGACAGGGATGGTGGGGGGGGGCCGCATCGGGTTGGCTGCGCATGTTCCGAATTTGGAGGCAGAGTGTGTTTTGCATTGTTTTTTACAAGTGGTGGTGGGGGGGGGTCGTCATGGTCCCTGGTTGGCCCCCAGTCGCCTGTGGGAGGGGATGTTTATTAATAGGGAACAGTGATAAACCCTTCCCCGAAGGGAAAGGAGGAGAGGTGGAACAGGAAACTCTCTAAAGCACAGACGCCCAGAGGGCTGGTGGGATCAAAACCAGATGAAATTGAATTGAATTTAATCCGGGTGAATCAAAACCGGATAAAGCTAAATTTGGCGAATTCAAACCGGATGATTTTAAACCAGGCAACTTATATCGGGATGAATGTAAACCGGGCGAATTAGACCGGATAGTTGTAAATTATTGCGCATGGCAAGTGTTTCGCTCTTTTTGGTCCAGTGGCTGTCGCGGTACATCTATATATATATATATATATAATATATATATATATATATATATATATATATATATATATATATATATATGTATTACATGTATATGTGTATATATGTACAAATGCGTGGCACTTGGGCACCACGAAGGGATCACCTGCCAAGGGTCACGGCCCTGGGAGAAAACTCGACCCGGGGAAACGAGCTCAACCCGGGATACGGGAGCACGAGCCCCAGAACGAAAAAGCGCGACCCACAGAAACCGAACCACGAACCCGGGAACCGCGGGACGCGCCGAACTTGGAGAATACAAATGGCGCGAGGCGTAGAAGGAGAGGGCGAGGAGGTTCACCTCAGACATCTTCTCAATTCGGGGCTCCGAGATGCTGCGCGCGAGGTGGTCCGGCCCGTTTCGCCTGAAATATCTTGGCAAGTTTTGGTTCCTTGAAGATGTGCGCGAGGTGGTCCAGCTCGTTTCGCCTGAAACATCCTCGCAATTCTTAGCTCTCAGAAAATGTGCGCGAGGTGGTCGTGCGCGTCTCGCTTGATACATCCTCGCAACTTTGGATTCTGAGATGCCGCGCCAGAGGTGGTGGAGAGGTGGGAGGAGGGAGGAGGAGGAGGAGGAGGAGGACCAGGAGGAGGAGGAGGAGGAGGAAGAGGAGGAGGAGGAGGAGGAGGAGGAGGAGGAGGAGGAGGAGGAGGAGGAGGAGGGGAGGGGGTGGAGGGAGGAGTTGTACATTGCATTCCAGTGAGGAGGGGGGAGGAGGGGATGGGAGGAGGGAGGAAGGGGGATTCAGGAGGGAGGATCGAGGGAGGAGGGAGGAGGGAGGAGGAGGGACGGAGAAGGACGAGGAGGAGGATAGGATAGTAGTTTTGTTCGCCTCCCTGGCCCTCGTGGCATAATGTTTTTTTGCTCGGCTCTCACGGCGGTGCCACGTGACGCGTTGCATTGGGTTGCATTGTATTGGATCGGATTGCAACCTGTTGCGTTGCATTGGGTTGCATTTGCATTGCGTTTGCCATACATCGCATAGCAATATATTGCGGGCGAGGGGGAGGACAGGAGGGAGGAGAAGGGAGGAAGGTATAGAGACGGTGAGCAAGGAATGAGGAGGTCAGAAGGAGGGAGGAGGGGGGGATGGAGGATGGAGGAAGGGGGAGGAAGGAGGGAGCAGGGATGATGGAGGAGGGAGCAGAGAGGGGGGAGGGAGCAGGACGAGAAGCACTGGATGTAACTGTTGGCCGCCTCCCTGGTCCTGGCCGTCGTCGTCGTCCTTCTCGTCGTCGTCCTCCGAGTCGCCGCTGTGACACAGCAGTTCTCTCGCTCCACGCGGCGCTGCCACGCGACGACTAGAATGGACTGTTTTGCCTCTCCGCGCCCCCCCGTCGCTGCCGCGTGGCGAGTGGCGTAGCATTTTTTTCGTCGGCGCCCGCCGCGGTGCCGCGCGACGAAAGGAGTGGAGTGGTTGCTCTTCTCCGACCCCCGCGGCGCTGCCACGCGACGGGTAGAGCGGATCGAAGAATGTCTCCTCGCGCACCCTCCTCCTCCTCCTCCTCCTCCTCCTCCTCGTCCTCCTCCTCCTCCTCCTCCCGTCCTTCCTTCTCCTCCTCCTCCTCCTCCTCCTCCTCCTCCTGATGGCATGTGGCGCGTGGAGCGGCTTAGTATTTGCTGTTGGCCACCGCGGCGCTGTCGCGAGGCGTACTCTGACGGTCCCCGCCGGGCGGTGCCGCGTGGCGAATGGGAGCGGAACAGTATTCTGTTCCAGCCCCAGCGGCGCTGCTACTTCACGAGTAGAATGGCGTTGCCACGTGGCAGCCGCCCTTCAACCGGCCAGCCAGCCTGCCTGCCTACCGACCGACCAGCCACCAGCCAACCAATCGGTCAACCAACGACCCTGTTGCGTTGCATGCATTGCATTGCTTTGCATCTGCGTTGCACCTGCGTCGCATGTGCAGTATATTGGATTGCAGTGAATTGCGGGCGAGGGGGGGACAAGAGGGATGAGAAGGGAGGAAGGTAGAGAAAAGGGGAGAAAGAAGGAGGATTGAGGAGGTGGGAGGAGGGGATTGGGAGGAGGGAGGATGGGGGAGGAAGGAAGAATGAGGGAGGTTGGAGGAGGGAGGAGGAAAAGGGGGATGGAGAAGGCCGAGAATAGAATTGTTATTCGCCTTCCTGGCCCGCGTCATCGTCGTCGTCATCATCATCGTCGTCGTGATCGTTCTCGTCGTCGTCCTCGTCGCCGTCCTCGTGGCATAATGTTTGGTTCGGCTCCCGCGGCGCTGCCACGTCATGACTTGAATGGAATACGCTTTCTTCGCGCCTACAGGCGTTGTCACGTGGCGAGTGGAGTGGCATAGTATCCTTTTCGGCCCCCGCGGCGTTGCCACGTGACGAACTGATTGGAATATCTTGTTGTTTCGGCTCCCGCGGCATTGCCACGTGACAAGTAGAGTGAACATAATACTGTTGCTTCGCGCCTCCAGGTTGCCATGTGACAAGTGGAGTGGGCAGGTTTGTCCGGCCCCAAGCGGCATTGCCACGCGACAAATGTTGTGGAATAGTATGTTTGTTCGCCCTCCCAGGCGGTGCCGCGTGGCGAATTGAGTGGAGTCTATTTTCGTCAGCCCCTGCGGCGCTGCAACGTGACGAGTAGAGTGGCATAGTATTTTGTCGCTTGCCAAGGCGTTGCCACGTGGCGAGTGTAGCGGGAAGTATGTTTTTCCCGGCCCCACGGCGCTGCCACGTGACGCAGCACACATTGTGTTTCAGCGCATTGCAGTGCATTGCAGTGCGTTGCGTTGTATTGCATTGCATTGCGTAGCGTTGCATTGCATTGCTCTGCGTTGCATTGCTCTGCGTTGCATTGCATCCTGTTGCGTTGCATTTAATGTATTGCATTGCAGTAAATTGCGGGCGAGGAGGAGAAGGAGGAAGAGGGGGACAGGGAGGGAGCAGAACGGAGGAAGGTACAGGATGAATTAACACTGGACGATTTTAAACTTGATGGAATTAAACAAGACGACTGAAAACCAGATGACTTCAAACGGACGGCTTAAAACCGGATGAATTTCAAACGGACGATTTAAAACAGGATGAATTGAAATTAGACGAATTTGAATCAGATGAATTTAAACCGGACGACTTTAAACCGGATGAATTTTATTGGATTAAACCGGACGGGTTTCTATTGGGCGAGTTTCGAGTTGATCGAATAGACGGGGCGAGCGAAGCAATATCCAAACAGGATGAATATAAACCAGACGAATTACAACCAGACGGATGGCAAACCAGGGGAAATAAAACAGGATCAATTCAATCCCGGGCGAATTTTAACAGGATGAAATTACATTGGATGGAAAAACAGGTTGCAACTGAGCGGAAATAATTGATCGGATGAAACACAACGGATGCTTCTAAATTCGGATGAAACAAAGGTAAATCGTTTTGCAGACTTGACCTCGACATCTGACCAGCCTGGAACTTAGTGGGCCCTGGAAACGACAGGGCCGTTTTCACACCTCTTCGGTTTTGCCGTTTTTGTTGCCAGTTCTGTCTCCGTTTTCATTACCAGTTCCGCCGCCGTTTTTTCTTGGTTCTGGCTCCTGTTCCAATCCCGGAGGCGTTTTTTTAGCCGTTTCCGGTAGTTTTTGTTTGCCGTTGCCATTTTCAATATCATTTTCGGGAACGGTGAAAAAATTATATTGCCGTTTCTTGGGCCCACAAAGGCCTGGAACATATCTTTATCCCTATGGTTGGAATCGCCTCATCTCGACGCCAATCTGAAGGATTCCCTCAGTCCCTTAGGGTGAATCCCTAAGATCGTCATCGCTTTTTGGAATGTCAACCTTGAGGATAGGGATGGGTTCGAGGCTACCACTACAGCCTTCTTTTTTCCCATCATGAGCGAACGTTGACCTTCAAGGATCCAGATCCCCCAGGTGGGGTCCGAGTAGATGGGGTCGAAGGATCGCTCCGCATCGCCGATGCATCGGCGATGCGGTCGATGTTGAGCCCGATTTTGATCGACGCCGACGTCGGCGATGCATCGTCGTCGCCGCCGATGCATCCCTGATACATCTACGATGCGTCGGCGATGCGGCGCGATCCTCGGACCCCATCTACTCAGATCCCATCTAGGAGGCTTAGAAAAGAGGTCTAAATGGTAAATGGTATTCCCAAGGGTCTTATATCCTTGCCTTGCACCCTTTTATCATGGATTTTGGCTGTAGATTCAAGCGCGTGGGCACGGCAGTGTGTACAGGAGCGCCCGAGCGCGAAAGCGTTTCGGGACTTCTTTGAGATGGTTTGTGCGCGGTCTCTACTCAGGCAGCCGCTGCGGGCGAGGCGCTGTGTGCAGGGTTGTTCCCCCATCAGGTGGACAGTACTCGGCGCACAGCGCCGTCGCACATTGCATTGGAGCGTGAATGTGGGCAAAAAGGTTTTGCCAGCGTGGAACCCAGACAGTAAGTTGTATTGCGCTGTGTATGTGTGTGTAAGCTATATGATACACACGCGTCTCGGGGCTCTCTTTCGTCGGTGCCCCGTGCGGAACGTCTCCTTGCGACCGCGTGTCCGCGGGATGGTGCCCCGGAACCCAGACCGCGAGGGCGCGGACACGAACGTCGAGAAGCGAAGACGCAGCCCGGCTTGGGTCCCCATGCTCGGTTTGGTGATAACGCGTCTGGGGTTCGGTATGAGGTGGGCCCAGGGTGCTCAGAGGCGTACCCCAAGAGCTGGCGTGGATCCACGTTTTCGGCGGCCGTCCCGAGGGTCCACGTGGGAGTGGTCTCGCTGGGCTCGTTGCGTGGCCGTCTGTCGTGGGGGCCCTCGAGAGCCTCTCCTTCCCCCGCCGGTCTTGCAGCGAAGGCCGGGGCTGCGACAGGCTGGGGCATCTCGGGGATGCGTGCCGCCCGGCAGCCTCGCTCAAGAGGCCGTGCCCGCGGCCTCACGCGCGAGCAGAAAGGGTCCAGCGAACTAGCCAGGCAACCCTCCTTCGCCTCCCCAGCGTTCCGCACCCCCCATACCTCCGTCGCCTCCCCTTTCTGGAGGATTTCTCCACAGGGCTTAGGCGACACGTCCTCCTCTCTTCTCCTCCTCCTCCTCCTCCTCCTCTCTCCTCTCTCCTCTCTCCTCGCTCCTCTCTCCTCCTCCTCCTCCTCCTCCTCCTCCTCCTCCTCCTCCTCCTCCTCCTCCTCCTCCTCTATCCTCCTCCTTCTCCAGCCTCCCTGGCCCCAGGAAGGACCGTCCCAGGAGGCACGCCAGGCACCACAAACTGTTTCGTGTACGGGTACCATCGCAGAGGCCCTCGCCAGCCCTGCCTGGCGGGGGTTTGATGCTTCGTTTTCGTGTCGTCTCATCGTAGCTTCGGCTCTAACCCCCTCCAATCAGCACGGAGCATAATGGAGGACATGATGCAGGAGGCGAGGAATTATGATGTGTTTTTGTTGGGGGGGTATGCAACTTCGTACACAGTCGGGGAACCTTGTGATGACGATTAGGAGTGCGGGGAGGTGGGTCTTGGAAGCGCCGACGTCGACGGCCCAGCATGCAACCAGCTGTTGCGGGTGTGCGATTGGGTTGGGGCCTACGGTAGAGCAGAATTATATCGTACAGATTTGGCTTTCCCCGCCTACGTCTCCAGGGCGGGTACTCGGGGTATGAATAACAAATCGCAATGTGGATGGGTGTGCTATCATGATGTACTACCCGCCCCAACCCCAGAAAAGTGGGCCCACAGGGCCCACTATCTTGCGGAGGTCGACATTCTCACGACATGGTTGTCGGATGTTCTTTCGGAGCTACCCCCGCGTTGTATTCCGGTGGTGTATAGCGATCTAAACGATGGTCTTGGGCCGTGGTACGACGGTAATGCGTGGCTTACACGGGACACACCTGTTGCAGGAATTCCCAACCGAGAGAGGTTACCACGGGGTCTTGGGACGCGGATCCACCAATTGATGGAGACATGACTTATGTGTACATCGAATCTTTCCAGAAGCGCGGGACCTGAACCCACCTGCTTCGGGACACAGGGAACTCAAGGATCGATTCCATGTTTGTGCCGCAGGGGGTTCGCAGTCAGAGCAGTGTGTGCCGTCCGCATGGACGCCTGGGCGCACGGTTGCAATCCCTAGGAGGTTGTTTTACCACGGATCACCTGCCCATTGTGTGTGTTGCGTTGCGACAAGCATGGGGCTCATCATGGGGAGTTGCAGATGTTAAGGCCCAGTAAAGCGACCGGCGTGCTGACCCCCCCCCCTTCGCGACAGGAAGTGCGTCGCGCATTCGTCGCCCGTGCGCCGCCCGTGCGTCGGCCGCCGAAAAGGCCAGCCGTCCTCTCGAACGTGCACGTCGCCCTGGCAAGGGGGCACTTTGGTGAGTGCGTCGCCAGCGCGGCGGACACCCACGGGGCGGATCGCACGCGCCTCGCCCTCTCCACGGCCGCTGAAAAGGCTGGTCGCCTTCGGGAAAAAGAAAGTCGCCCACGCCGCGGCCCTCTTGGCGAGAAGAAGGCGGCCGCTGGGCCACCTCGGCGGATCAGCAATCCCCCTAACATTGTAAACGCAGCGACGTTGCTGAACGCAGCCCGCCGATAGGCCAGCAGGTCCCCGCAGCCGCCGCCACAGCCGCCGCAACCGCCG